CCCCCCCCAAAATATGCGGCCTAATTCCACCGCACCGAGTCAACGCGACTGGAGGCTTCACAAGCGTGCGTGCAAGGCAGGCACTACTACTGCTGTGTGGTGCTCCAGCCGAGCCCTCTGTGACCACTCACATCATCCGTGAAAGACTGTCGACCGTTGTTCTTCGCCGACCATGCGGATCATCACAGCAGACGAGACGGGCCTGGTGAAGGTGGTGCGGTTGGAGAGCGGCGAGTGCTTGGCAGTGAGCGCAGGAGAGCAAGCCCGAGCCAACGCTGTCCGCGCGGTTTGCTTCGACCACGCCGCCCCTGCCGCAAGCCGCCACCGGGCTTCCGACGACTTCTTCGCAAGGATCCACGTCGCCCGCGCGGCGGGTGCCGTCGAAACCTGGGACGTGTCGCAGTCGGAGCGGGATGGGCAAACCGGCGGCTGCGCGCTCAGCGCTCGTGGGACTGCTGTTGAGTGCGCCGCTGCTCCAGTGGCCCTGGCCTGCCTCCCGCCGGCCTCGTCCAGCAGCAGCGAGTCTTCCCGCGTCCTGACCTGCAACGGAGAGGGAGAGGTGCAAGTATCCCGCGCTGCTCCCGACGGCAGGTCGAACGACGAGGCGGAACGGACGACGTTGTCCATCCGCGGACCAGTCAGCGCCGCCGTCGCCGACGGGGACGGCGGGTCGGGGCTTGCGCTTGCCGCCGGAGGCAAGGAGAATGACCTCAAAACGTGGGACTTGGGCACCGGCAAGTGCACCTGGAAGGCGAAGAACGTGCCCCACGATTTCCTGGACATGCGACAGCCGGTGTGGATAACCTCACTCTGTCCGCTGGCGGCGGCAACCGGCGGCGGCGGCGGGTTGCAGCAAATGGTCGCGGGAACAGCGCACCGACAGGTACGCCTCTACGACGCCCGCGCGCAAAAGCGACCGACGCACTCCGTCGACGCCGACGAGCACGGCGTCACGACCATGGCCGTCGCCCCGGACGGGAGGGAGGTGGTCGTGGCGGACACCGCCGGGCTCGTTCGCGTGCTGGACCTGCGGAAGATGAAGTGGGGTCGGCGGTTCGAGGGGCCGGCGGGGTCCGTGCGAGGCCTCGCGTTCCACCCGACCTTGCCGGTGCTCGCCTGCGTCGGCCTGGACCGCATGGCCAGGGTCTACGGCTACCACTCGCGGGAGCAGAAGTTCCAGGTCTACCTCAAGCAGAGGCTTAACGCCGTGCTCTTCGATGGGGAGGAAGGGGAGGTTCAGGTCGCTGCAGACGGCGAGGATGGCGAGAAGAAGAAAAGCGGCGCCAAGGACGGCGCCGGCGCCGGCGAGGATTGGTCGGGGAGCGAGGGCTGGGGTTCCGGAGAGGAGTACGAGATGGACGAAGCGGACAGCTCTGAGGAGGAGGAGGAGGAGGAGGAGGAGGAGGATTCGCGGCGGCGAACGGCAACAACGCAAGTTTCGGTCAGGGCGAACGGGGGGAAGCCGTCCGTTGGAGAGGAAGACAGCGGGGGGGAGAGTAGCGAGGAAGAGAGCGTGGATGACGAAGTAGATGCAAGGGCTGGGAGCGAGGGTGGGAGTAGCAGTGACGACGACGAGAGTGAGGAAAGCGAAGAGGAGGCGAAGCCGCCACCGACGAAACGGCGGCAAGTTCAGAGAACTACGGCCTCCGCAAAAAAGCCTAGTAGACGATGATGGTAAAGATTGACGAATCTATCTAGGAAGTAATTTCTAGCTTTTTTGGGCAGCAGAGTGTGTGCGTGTGTGTTGCTGTTGTATACTGTTAAACAAAATGATTGTGCTATGCACAACTCGTGTGAATGCTCTCAATGGAGCACTGCCAACTCTGGTCTATCTCTTTTGGATTGATACCATGGACGAAATGGTTTGCTAACCGTTCGAAAAAGCGGACCGTTGTTCGCGTCCCCTCATGGGGCGAGGCCACCCACAGCAGTAAAGAGACATAGTTCCCGCTCTCTTCTGCACCCTGAGGGGGAAAGCGATTTTTTTCGCATCTTGTGCACGATCGCACCCCGCGGGTGAAACCCCCCTTGCATCGCTGGCTTCGTTGTTTTTACGTGGTCAAATTCAAACACCCCTTTTGTGTATCCACCTGACACCTCTACGCATCTAGCTTTCTTGTCTGCTGGCGATATTAAGTAACCGTTTGCCCCACTCAAACGGGGATTTGGTCACCTCCGCCTGTCGCTATGTCGTGAGTCACGGCTGCTTTTATGCCGACCACCCCTATCCTCCCGTTTTCGGTCCATCCCGTTCCTAGCCCCAGCCTCATCACGCCTACTTGCACCGCCGTCTCGTCTAGGCTCCCCCCCACTCCTGCCCCCGTGGGCGTCATTTCCTCGTCCCCCCTTCAGCTGCTGCTTGAGGGGATCGATAACAGCGTAGTCGTCGGCTCTGCGGCCGTCGCTGCCCTTCCTCAGGTCGTCGTCGATGTGTCGCTTGAACTTGAGGGGCCCCGTGAACCAGTTTTCTCCGTCGTCCGCATCGTCCTCCCCCTCGTACAGCTTGCCCTCGGTCACCTGCCCGTGGTACGCCTCCACCTTCTTCGATTTCCCGTCCGCACGGGGGAGGGGCGGGGGGGGGGGGAGGGGGCAGGGGGAGGGAGGAAGCTTAAAAACCGGACGCGACAAACGTAGCCTTTGTGATTTTCGTTCACTTTTAAGAGACACGTATACGCCTTCTCTCTGGAAGAAATAATTCCTGGTCGTGTGCTGTTGTCTCATCTATCCTGGAACCAGTCTACTACCCTTTGGGTGTCTATTTGGCGTATCAGCCTGGGATCACACAAGAGGAAGGTAGCACCAAGGAACCCTTTTTTTTTTTTTTTTGCACTTCCCCCCTGCGGTGCTTGCGTTCGATTGTTCACGCGAGAAGGGTCCAGCTGTCCCCTGCCTCTTTCATGTGCACTCACTAAGAAATCGCTTTTCACCGCAGAATTGATTGGGTCTGTCTTAACTTTTTTTTTTTTTGGCAGGGTCATTTTGTATTCGCGTAGCCCCCCCTCCCTCCCCAGACCGATAGGGTCGCAAAAGCCGATCTCGAGCTGCTGCACGGGTCTCGGGACAACCCAAGCATGACTTGGCAGGGCATCGCAAATCATGCCCCCCCCCCCCCAAGTTCTAGCAGCTTTGCTCTGTGCAGAGGACAAGAGTCAACGTATGTTGAACCCTGCATGCGTGCCAAATACTACACTCCGTTTCTTCCTTTCGGTTTGTTTACAACTCTACAGTCTAGTTTCGATATTTAGTCTACGTAGTTTGATTAGCCATGAACGCTTTCGAGAATCGGACGGGTGTGTGCACGTGTTGAATGGGTGTGCCATGCACGTGTTGGCGACAGATTTGACACCGCAGGCTACATGCCTCCCGTGACAAGAATACCGTAGGTTACAGTTACACAAGGCACCACACACCCTAAAACGATTTTCAAAGCTCGACTACTCCACAGCGGAAAGAGCGATGGCGCCGAAAATAGCAGCGTTGGAACCATCTCATTGACAGCTTTCCGACAAACTCTATCCTTTGATTCCTGCATTCTCTTGGTCGTTGAGTAATCGACTTTTGAAAATCGGCACAAAAGGGGGGATGTTATCTTTCGTCGTGTCACCTCCTACGGTACGACTGGCTCTATGCCACTTCCACCATGACGGGGAAAGCACCCCTACCATGGGCCTTGTGCTCTCCTGTCGGGGGATTTTTGTGAAAAAACAAACAAACACGAAAACACGAGGTCCGCGTTTCTCTTTTTGTGAAAAAAACAAAATAAACTCAGGGGTCCGTCCGCGGTTCATAATACACAACACACATGGATATTCTGCTTTCTCTGGGCGTGAAAATGAGAGCCCGTTCTGGTGCTAAAAATGAGAGCGCGCTCTTGCTGCTGGTGCTGGTCCTCTGCAACTGTCATTGGAACCATATGAAACCCCACGCCAGAGGAAGTGCGAGCACACCACGGGCGGCACTGAAACCTCTTGTTTCTCCTCTCGCTGTCTGTGCTGTGTTGCCGCTATTTTTCATCTTGCCCTCTTCCTCCTCCTCGTCCTGGATAATCTTGCGATCGCTTCCCTTGCGCGTGGTGATCACCTCCGGCGCGATCGTGCGGGGGGTGGTGTTAAACCTCCCGTACAAACCCGGTCCTTCATGAGTTCCAGCCGGGTCCCCCCCAGGAGGCCCGCCCTCTTTTCGCGTTTGCTCTTGCTCCCGGACACGTGGTCTTGTTTTGAGGAGCCAGTTGCGTGCTCGTG